AAGGTTCCATTTTATTTCATCTTCTCTCCTGAGTAGAAGTTAAATTCCTTTTTAATAACAGATTCATGTCTTGATGTGGTGCATGTGCGGCACAAAGTAGGCATTCAAGAATACTTATTTATGGACAGATACAGAAAGATTTCTGAGAGATTCAGGGCTTTTCCTCATCCTTAGGGACTTTTTTCCTTAGGATAGATGGTGCTATAGGTTCAGAGAGGATCATTCGGGAGTGAGCTGGCTCCTTGGTTCATGGCTTCATTGGGGCAATGGGTGCACACTTTCAAAAATGAAGTCACATGTTATAGGTCTTGGGGATGCAAAATAGCGAGATCTCACTGTAGTCAATAGCATAACTAAGAGTCCAAAGGGAACAAACTTAGACATGCTATTGTAATGTCAATTGCAACAATTGCAATTATTCCAATGATGACATTTAGGGTTGGCTAGTAGTAGGTGTCTTTCAATTTGAAATAAGAAGAGAAAACAAACAGTGCTTCATGCTTATATGTTTTTGAAGTATATAGTGCGTGTTCTACACTTTCTTAGGTTTTACAGAAAAACCACACCAATTGGGCATTAGCATCTCCATTTTATAGATGAGGAAGCCAAGGCTTGGAGACATAAGGAACTTGCCTGTGGTCACAGAAACATGAAATTTTTCTTTGGTTCAATGATTTCTGTCTAGCACTTAGAAAATAAATTAGACCATGGTCTTTCTGGAATAGTTAATGGAAAGACAGTAGAGTGGGGTACATTAGTGGTTTTCAAACTTTCTCAACTCAACCAATAAAAAAGAAAAACCACAATTACATTAAACTTCATTACTACATGTGCTTACAGGAATTTTCTCTGAGGAAATTGTACTGGGATATCCAAAATCCAAGACAGGGTTTTTAGACAGAAGAATTGCCAGTAACTATCTCAAACAAGTCACTTCCTCTCTTTCCCAATTTCTGAGATGAAGAGAAGGAGGGAGAAAGAAAAGGAGGGAGAGGGGGACGGGGAGAGAGGGAGACAGAGAGAGGTAGGAGGTGAGAGAGGGAGAGAAACAGCCACTGAAGGTTATATACCCTTATGGATCTGATGTCTGCTATAAATCCTTTCCCCAGACAAGGCACAAATGCCTGCACATGTGCAACTTTGAATGCTGGTTTTGTTTACTCACAGCTTTTCCAAAGACCATTCATGTACCTCCAAAAAAAAAAAAAATATATGACCCTTGACCAGAAGAAACACCTGGAATATGTGCTAATAGGATCATAGTCATATTTACAAAAAGAGCCCCTTTTATGGATGCAACCTGAAATATTTGCCAGTGAAATAACTTCATGGCTAGAATTTGCTTTCAAATGATTCCGTGTGGGAGAATGGGGGCTGGTGGTGATGGTGGATGTGTAGAAACAATGCTGTCCAGGAACTGATAATTACTGAACCTGGGCAATTAGATCCATGATAGTTCCTTATACTTGCTTTCTCTTCGTTTGTGTATATTGAAATGTTCTACAATAAGATAAATTTCCCCAAAAATTGATCCATAATTTTAAAAAGTACCTGGAAGAGATGATTTCCAATGTTTCCAATTTTAATGTTCTAGGATTTAGCATTTCAAAGACTCTGCAAAGCAAATGGACTTCTGGAGACATTTTATGCACTCATTTTACATCTGGAGATGGTCTATGTATTTTTATGTACTATGACATTTTAGGTATCTTATGAAATTTTATGGACCCTGTGGACTGCAGGGTCTTTCATGGTCCCATTTTCCAGATGATCCTGTGATGCTCCATTTAATTACTTCCATAAATACACTTTTTGGGGAGTGAGTAGCAAAAGCCAATACAAAGAGGCTGGACAAGAATTGGCCATCAATCATTTAACGTGGTATTGCAGTTGAATTTATTGGAAAAGATTTTTAAGAAGACACATTGCATATGACTTTTAGTGGCGTGTAGGATCCTTAGGCTTAAAAGAGGCCTAAGGTAAAACATTGCACAAGTATGAGTGATAGTGGCAGAAAAGTTGAAAGCCATGCTGCCTGAATCCTGGTCCTGCCTGCCTTTGTCACTCAATTTGTCACATGATCTTGGGCAAGTCATCTAACCTTTCTGAGCTCCCACTTTTCTATCCCTAAAATGGAAATAATAACAGAATCTTCTATTTTGAAGATTAAGGTTATTCCTGACTTACAGTAATCACTTACCAAATGAATAATAGCAAGCATTGTTCTCTCAACCATGCAAAATAAAAATAGATGAAAAAGATGTAAGATAGAGATCAAAGTGCTGTCAGTTGTTGTCTCTGGATTGTGAGTGAAGGGGTGATTATTTTTCTTTATTTGTATATGAACTTGTCACCTATCTATAAAATATTTGTTATTTTTATAATCGAAGAAAAATGTTTTTTAAAAGTGATTTTAAAAGTCTTCCTTGAGGAAGTTTAATGCACAGAGGGGCCTGAATCATGCTTGTTTCATGGAGTATTTTATAACAAATATGATTAATATTTTTTTAAAATTTTTTTAGTTGTAAATAGATACAATATCTTTATTTTTATTTATTTATTTTTATGTGATGCTGAGGATCGAACTCAGGGTCTCATGCTTGGGAGGCAAGTGCTCTACCACTGAGCTCCAACCCCAGCCCTGATTAATATTTTTAATGGACAGATCACAGCTGTATTACATTTATGGGATACAGTATGATATTTTGATATATGGAAAAACAATGTGGAATGATTAAATCAAGCTAATTAACATATCAATCACCTCATTTATGTGACTTTTTTTGCAGTGATACATTTGAAATTTATTTTCTTGTTTATCTTTGACAAATAAGTGCACTTCACGGGATAGTAAGATAGAGCGATCACAACTGCCTTGCTCACATTTTTCCTATGGGGCTCGTATTTTCAGGATGGAAGATCTTCATCAATGTCAATGAACTTTACAATCTGGCCTTGCTGGTATGGAAGGAATAGATAGTTCTGTTTCATGCCATCCTACTCCCTTGCTACACAATCCTCCATTCCAGCAATGTAGCCACTTTTGAGGGCCCTGGAGCCCTTTGAAGATAGCATGAATGCTATGCCAAGAAACATTCAGATGCAGGCACGCTATTTTGTATTCAATTTCCTGGGACTCTGGGGCCCTTCCATGCTTATCTCTCACAAAGATGACTAAGCTCTGATAGCACACTTGGGAATGTACAAACACACATCAGGTGTGTAGACCACACTGAGAAAAACCGACTTATATAAATCTGAAACTATAAGCCAGATAAATTGGTGGATAATTATGGGCATTACATATGAGGTTTTTGCTTTGCCAAATAATTTACATTAGAACATCTATAAATAGCAAACCCATACAGTGTGTTTGAACCACGCTGCTGTTTACCCAAATGCTAAGCCCTTTTCGGAACACACCTACAGGAGAGCAACAGGCTCAGTTCAAAAAGTTTCACACCAGTGTCCCTCTTGCATTTAGGTACATTCATTTACAGAATTCTAGATCACCTTTGAAATGGCCGCTAACCCACATTGCTTCTAGAACTGATGGTTAACGATGAGACTCCTCAAACGTCCAGATGGAAGAAAGGTAGTGCGTATGTGATTTTTGAGCCTGCTTTGGGGTGGATCATCTGCGATGTGATGGATTCCACCTCCACCTCAGAACGGAAAAGGAAAAATACAGAGTCTTGATACTACCAGGATGGAAACTAGGCGATCTCATGTATGCTTCACCATGATCCTGGAAGAGAGGCTTTTGCCCTCATTTCCAACTGACTCTTAGAAAATTTAACACATGCCCTGAGTCAGCCAACTGATTAACAGAAAAAAAAAAAAAAAAAAAAGCAAAGATTACCATCCTTGATGGTTAACTCTGGGAGGCTGGGAAATGTGCAGTGCCCAGCACCCCACCAAATCCCCAGAGTCACTTAGGTTGATTCTGATACTGCTGATTTCATCAGTGGCTCTGGGGATGTGTGTGCATGGAGACAGGATTGTACTTTTCCTTGCCCCATCTGACCTACCCTCTACACTGACATCCTCCTTTCCTTTGCTACTATACAGGGACAGCCTCACATTCCAAAAATGCCTGGGGTCCTCACACACACAAATCTGTACAAGGAGCCAGGAGCCCTGCACTGAAAAAAAAAAAAAAATCCATATAACTACAAACACCATCTTACGATTTCCACTCCCAGCTGAGTTGCCATTTGGCATGCACTGCTAGCAACCACATTTTACTTGATTCTCTTCCAAGATTTCCAAACATGTGCCTGGCACCCACGCAAGTTTCAGAGGAAGTGTAATAGTGACAGGAGAAGTGCTGCGGGGTTGGTTTTGTATATATGTGTTAGTGACTGTTATAAAGACAAGTGTAAGTTCTTAGAGTATTAACTTCCACAGGAGAAGCACCAACTTTCTCACTAACGCAGTATTTCCCTTTGCCCAGTATTTCTCTTTTAAAACTATCCTTACCTGAAGTTAGGGATGAGCCCTGTTAAGCAAAGGCTCTGTTTCTAAGACCCTTGGGATGAGACCTTTTGCTGGCTTCGTGCCCAGGATTTTCTGAAGGAGTATCCCTTGGCTGCCTCCATCCCTCGGTCTTCAAAAGCCCCCCCTAAAATCTACATGCGCTTGGGCACAAGCAGGCTCAAAACACAGAACCACCAAGCCTCTTCCACCCGCCTCAAGAAATCGATCTCTGAATCCAGAGTCAATATGAATTGCGTGAGCTCCCAGGGTCGGAGCCCAGCGCCAAGGCTCGGGTCTGTGTGGGCGACAAAGCTGGGACCACAGGGAGGAGGTCCAGCATCCTGAGCAGCGGGTCCTGCTGGAGGTTCAAGTCTCAAGGGAGGGCCAGTCCTTGAGCCCTGGCTGAACTAGGGACACGTCTCAGCTCCTGTAGCGCAAGCGCCAGAAAGAAGGAGAAGAGGTGGACAGGGAGAGGAGGGCAGAGTGAGTTTGTGTTCTCTTGGGGCAAGTGTGCGCGGTACCTTGGATTCCTGGCTGCTGGTGGATGCAGGAGAGGGCGGCTGCTCCGCGCTCGCCGCCTCCTTGGGCAGCCCATCTACGCCGTCCTCGCGGGCGCCGCTTGGAGGGATCATCGTGGCCGGGCGGGAACGGTGTTGGGCTCCCGGAGGAACAGCGAAGCTCGCCTTCCTCCGGCGCGCCTGCCCGCCGCGCGCTCCGTCGCTCAGCTCCGGGTCCCGGGGACTTCCATCCTCGCCCAGCCGCCGACTTGCCCTCCTCCGGCCTCACCCCTGCCCCGGCCCTGCCCACCTCCCCAGCACTTCCGCGGGCGGGGGGGAGAGCGCGCCCAGCCCCGCCCCGCCGCGCCCGCGGCCACCTCGCTGGCGACCGCACAGTCGTGACAGCCACCCAACCCACCCGGCCGCGGGAGAGCTGGCTCGGGATTGCCCGCGGGAGGAGGGGGGAGGCGCGAGTGGCTCTGGGCGGGGCCGCGCGGCCAGCGCAGGGAGTAGGGACTAGTGAGGGCAGGCGGGCTGGCAGTGCCCACCGGAGCTCTGCCGGAGGCTGGGCTTCCATCAGGGGTGGTTCCTTAAGTGGGATAGTGAGAATTCAGACCAAACCCCAAAGAATAGAAGACCATGAATGACAATGGCCAGGAGGGACCACCTGCAAGGTCTCCCCATTCCCCAACCCAAGAAATAGTGACTCCCAGAGATACAGTGACTTAGCTATTTATAGGGTTCAGTGGCAGAAGAGCAGAGACCAGAGCACGAGGTCCCCTGACGAGTGGACACTACAATTTCCCCTATTCCACTTTAATCTAATGCTGATAGTGCAAGTAGTGTGTGGACACCTGCTGCTCATTTTGTAGTGCATTTGTTGAGCTCACCTCCTTTCCACTTGCCACCTTATTGAATCCTCACAGGCACCCTGTGGGGCTAGACACTATCACTTCCATTTTCTAAATGAGGAATTGGAGGAGTTAGTAATTTGTTTTAAGTCACTAAACTAAAAATGATAGAACTGGGATTTGGACTCATTTTGACTTCAAAAATCCATGCTTTTAGGTGTGCAAAGTTTCAAATCTAAGCCAGGTCTTAAAAGCTGAAGAGCTATCAGATGTTGCAGTGTGGCAAGTTTAAGACTGTTCACAGGGGGCAAAGCCTGCCTTATTCTGTCTTTTGGAAACATAAAGATAGCATCATTGGATAAGGAAAGGCTCAGTTTCTTTTGAAGATATAACCTGAGTGTGCAGGAAAAGGAAACACACCTAAACATTTAAAAGCCTTTCTCCCCCATTAAGAAAAAACTCTTAATTTTTGAATCAAAAATTGTAAATGTAAGGTTGATTGGCTCTGGATGTTTGCAAGATCAGATTCGTGAACAGGACACTTGTGCAGTCACATAGGGCCCTGAACTGGGTTTAATGCTTTGGTGTTGCCATCTTGAAATTCTTAAAATAATAATAACTAGGGGCTGCACTTTGATTTTGCACTGGATTCTGCCAATTATGTATCTGGTCCTGCATGCTTGCCAGACCTCATGTCTTTGAAAATAACTTATTACTCTTTCCATCCCAAACATCAGTTGAAAGCTCCTGTTCTAAGTGTCAGCCTCTCATTTAGCATTTGGCTCAAAGAGCACTTTCAATTCCCTAGTGGCTCTCAGCCTCTCCTTCCGCAAGGCCAGATTGACTAACCCAAGTAGCCACTGCCTTTCCTCCTCTTAAGATACACTTCCTGATTGCCCAGTAGAGACAAAATTCTAACAGTCAAAGTCACAACAGCAGCGAGTAGAGCACACAATGACAGGAGCCTCAGCATCAGCACATCTTTATCAACCATCTATTCTGTGACAGATTTTATACTAGAAACAATATGCTAGGAAGAAAATTCCTTGATCTTGAGTCTGGAGAAAGAGATGGGTTAATCAAATTATACATACACACAGAGATACACACACATACACACAGAGACACACATACACACAAATGCACTTTCAATAAACTGTGATAAAGAAAACTGCAAGACTCTAGTGAGTGTGTACAATGTGAGGCTTGAAGGAGGGTCAGAGAAGGATTTTCTCTGGAAGTAAAACTCCCAGGGTCTACTGGCAACTCCAGGCTTGGTGAACAAGTACACCAGGACTTACAATAAAGAATTTTTCATCTTTGGATTTGATTTATTTTTAATGTAAAGATGACACGTCTCATTTTAGCAAGTGCTCACCTCCAATTAGCTATAGTATTAGCCAATAGTCTAAGTTTAAATATTGTGCAGTATATGAATTTATTTTTTATGGTTCTAGGGATCAAACCCAAGGTCTCATACATATTAAACACACACTCTACCAGTGAGCTAATTCTTAACCCCCAACTTCTTTGTCTTTAGATGAAATCTTGCCACACTGCCCAGACTGGCCTTGAACTCCTGGGCTCAAGAGATTCTCTTGCCTCTGTTCCTGGGTAGCTGCAACTACAGGTACATGCCACTGATTTGAGCACAAAATTTTAAAGAAGCTAGTACCTGTCTCCTTATCACCCCACCCTTGTCCTGGTTATAGAAATTCCTGTCTGATAGATAATAGCTATCTTCCTGAAGAAAATGTGGAATTAGCTGTGGTTTCTCAAACTAAATCAAACCTTCATTCATGTTTATCTTTCAAATAAATCTCTTTTCACCCAATCTTTGGTTATCTAGCTAATTTCTCTTATTCTTCAAAACACATCTCCAAGCATTTATTATTCTTGAAATCTCCTTCCTTGGTCCATTTATCTCTCTTAGATTTCCAAATCAATGCCATGTTTCCGTGGTATCCCTTCCTAAATCATCAATGACAATTTGTCTGTCCTGCTGAGCCAGGAGCTGCAATAGGGCAGGGACAATATCATGTTCATCTTATTTCTCCACCCCTCGTCATCAAATTTGTTAACAAGATGAGGAAAGGAGGCTGCCCCTGTAGCCCTGAGTTCCAAGATGGCCTAGGCATTCGTTATGCCAAGTGTCCTCCCCATACTGAATGGAGTTCCTGAATGCTTCTAGAAAACACCGGGATTTTAAATAAGCTCCCCAGTATTAGGGATTTTGTCTTTATTGGCTTCAAAGAGGTAAACTGAGAGTTGTGGCTATCTGAGAATGGGGCTCAGTAGCTTGCACGGATGTGAAGGATCTGCAAGAGGGAAACCAGTTCACAGTTTGTCTCTGGGAACAGGCACAGAGGTGGACAGAATGCTTCATCTGTGTCTGTGGGGAGAGGGCTACTGGTAGAAAGGGAGGGAACTGTATTTGAGGTGAGGGTCACAGGCACTGCTATTTTGGGACCTAAATGGCCATGTCTTATTCCAAGTCCTGGAGTGATGGGAGACCTCTTATTTGTCACAAAAGCCAGCTCTAGCCTTGGAACTGAAGGGATATTGATATATTGATGGCAATGCCCAGAGGACAGTGGAGAGGACTGAGAGTCTCCATGTGTTAGGGCTCAATTCCTATTAAAACCTGATTATCAGAGACACATGACAGAAGGGCATCTTTTTGTGGCCATGTGAAAGATACCCACTCATACTACCAGTGAAGGATGTGGATAAGAAGTACCAGGGAACTTCCCTTACTGTTCCCCTACCTGCCCTCCTGCCCTTCCCTAATTGAGTCCAACACCAAAACTCCTTCAATGACCTGCGCCTGCTAAACCCTATAAAACCCAGACCGTTGTTACTGCTCGCCACCATTTTCCCCTTGAAATGCCCCTCCATTGCTTAATAAAGGATCGCTGGTCCATTGAGGTCTGCTTCCATTTTATTTTTCTTTTTGTATTCTCTTTCATGTGCTTTCATTTGGTGCCGAAACTCAGAAACAGGCGTTCAGGGCTCTGTACCACTCCTCATATTCCCTTTCATTTGCTTTCAACCAGGAACATTGGGGCGAGACTTCACAGAATACTGGAGGTCTGACCTTAGAGACTGTGATGACTTTTAAGCAGTGGATATCGAGAGGACCTCCTTTCTACTGCAGGCTAGTAAACTCTGGGAGAAAAGATTGCAAATAATTATTGGAAATCTCAACTCTGTAACAAGACTCTGCGATTTCTGTAGATTCCCTTCATGGTCTGTTTCCTTCTGGCTGCTGGATAAATACCAAGTCAGCAGAAGCGTGCAGAAATTTGTCTCTGCAAACTTGAACTGGAAGCTCTCACTCTAGGTTCATTTACTGATTCATTAATTTGTAATGAGGGCAAAACCCTCCTCCCCATCACATGCAACTAACTGCCTTTTGCAGGAAACACGGCTGAGCAGAAGAATGTGTAATGCTCTCAGAGAGACCAAATGCTTTGCCCAAATGACTTACAGCCCATTGCTGGGCTCTGAATTTGCATGAAGACACTGGATGTTCAATCTATGGACCCTGATTTTTTTTCCAGAGCCATTTGGTAAAAAGGTATTTGTAAGATTAATAAAAAGAGCCATCCTTATAAATATATATATACATATATATATATTTATAAGGATATATATATGTATATATATATATATATATATATATCCTTATAAATATATAT